TAAAGATTCCAGAGATTCTAGAGCTTTTGAAGATTCTACTGATTGAAAAAGGTTTCTTTCGATTCTACAATTTTTCGTTCATTCAATTCCTTTTCTTTAGAATTGAAAATATTATAGTCTAGCGGTTCCAGCAACTCTAGAAATTCTAGAGAATTTAGAGATTCTAGAGATTTTAGGGATTCTAAGGAATTTAGACAGTTTTGAAATTCTACAGATTTTGAAGGTTCTAGAGATCCTAAAGGTTCCAGAGATTCTAGACATTCTAGAAATTATAGAGGTTCAGACATTCTAGAGATTCTAGACATTATAAATTTTTTATAGATTATAAAAATTCTGGAGATGCTAAAAACTCTGGAGATACTAAAGATTCTAGAGTTTCTAGAAATTCTAGAGGTTCTAAAAATTCCAGAGAATTTAGAGGTTCTGATGATTCAGGAGATAGTAAAGATTCTGGAGATTCGAAGATTCCAGAGATTGCTAAGATTCCGAAGTTTTAAAGTCTGAGGATTCCAAGAAATGTAGAGATTTTTAAGCAATTCTACAGATTTTAAAGGTTCTACAGATTCTAAAGATTCTGGAGATGGTAAAAGTTCTAGAGATTCTGAATAATTCTAAAGCGGTAAAAATTCTAGAGAGTTAAAAATTTTAGAGGTTATAAATATTTCAAAAATTACAACGATTCCCAAATTTTAGAGTTTAGCGCTTCCAGCAATTCTAGAGATTCTAGAGATCTAGAGATTCTAAAAAGTCTACAGGTTCTAGAGATTCTAAACATTTTGAAGATAATAAAAATTCGAAAGATTCCAGAGATTACAAAGATTCTTGAGATGCCAAAACTCTGGAGATACAAAAGATTTTAGAGATTCTAAAGATTCCAGAGAATTTAGATACTTTAGAGATTGTAAAGATTCTAGAGATACAAAGGTTTCAAAGATTGCTAAAATTTCGAAGTTTTAAAGTCTGTGAATTTCAACAATTCTAGAGATTTTTAAGAATTTAGAGACTTTAGAAATTCTACAGATTTTCAAGATTCTACAGATTCTAAAAATTTTAGAAAATCTAAATATTCTGAAGAAATGCTAAACATTCTAGAGATGCCAAAGATTCTAGAAATCTAAAATTTCTAGAGATCTACAGATTCTAAAAAGTCTACAGGTTCTAGAGAATCTAAACATTTTGAAGATACTAAAAATTCGAAAAATTCTAGAGATTCTAAATTTTCTAGTGCTTCTAGAGATTTTAAATGTTCTCGAGATTGTCGAGATCCTTGATATTGTAGAAATTACAATTTTTGACATCATAAATTTTCATATTGGCATTTTCTTTACTTTTTCAAATGTTTCGGTTTCATCATTTTTCGTTTTTTAACTTTAATTTTTTCAATTTTTTAATGTCTCGACTTCCAAATTTTTCAATTTTTGTTTATTCAAGTTTTCAATATTACAATTTTTCATTTTTTCATTTTTCACTCTTTCAATTTTTAATTTTTCGGTTTTTCAATTTTTCGTTTTCTCAACTGTTTAGTTTCTTGATTTTTGTTTTTTATTTTCTCAATTTTTTTAGCTATATTTCCTCTATTTTATTTATCTTATTTTTACTATTTTTTTATTTTCTTTATTTTTTCAATATTTCTTTCGATTTTATAATTTTTTGTTAATTCAGTGCTTCAAATTTTCAATTTTTTTAATTTTTAATATTTCTACTTCTCAATTTTTTGTTTCTTCATTTTTCAAGTTCTTGATTTTCAATTTTTAGATTTGGTGATGAAAATTGAAAAATGGAAAAACTGAAAAATCGGACAATTAAAAATTGAAAAACTAAAAATTGGAAAAAATAAAAAACTGAAAAAGGGAAAATGGCAAAATCGAAAAATTGCAAATCGCAAAACTGAAATTTTCAAAACCTAAAAATTGAAACATTCAAAAGCTGGAAAAAGGAAAAATTGAACAATTTAAAAATAAAAACTCGAAGAGTTGAAAAATGAGAACTCCAAGAATAAAAAATTAAAAATCTACATATAAAATCGGAAATTTGAAAAACCGAAAAACTGTAAAAACAGAAAATAAAAAACCGAAACGAAAAATTGCAAATCGAAAATTTGAGGAAACGAAAAATTTAAGAGTCGACAAGTTGGAAAATGAAAAATTGAAAACATGAGAAATTTTAAACCGAAAAATTCCAAAATCTAAAAATTGAAGATTAAAAAAAGAATTGAGAAATTGTGAAATGAAAAAATGAAGAAACGAAAATTTGAAAAAATTATAATTGAAAAAGCAAAAAACTATACAATCGAAATATTGAAAAACTGAATAATTGAAAATGTAGAGAAGATTGAAAACCGAAACGAAACATTGAAAAAGTTAAAAAATTTGAAAGTTGGAAAATTGAAAATCTCAAAAAATTGAAAACTCGAACAATTGCAAATAGAAAAACTTAAGAAACGAAAAAAATAAAAATCGTACAAATTTTTATAATATCTCTCTATAAGTTCTTGACTTTTACTTTTAATTCCCCCGATTTTTTAATTTTCATTTGCTCGATTTTATATCACAATTTTTCGTTTTTCCATTTCATTTATTTAAAATTGAAAATATTATAATCCAGCGGTTCCAGAATCTCAAGAAATTCTAGAGAATTTAGACATTCTAGAGGTTCTAAGGGTTCTAGAGATTATAAAGAATTTAGACAGTCTAGAAATTCTAGAGATTCTAGAAAGTCTGAAGATTCTAGAGATCCTAAAGGTTCTAGAGATTCTAGACATTCTAGAAATTATAGAGGTTCAGAGACTCTAGAGATTCTAGACACTATAGAGTTTCTATAGATTATAAAAATTCTGGAAATGCTAAAATCTCTGGAGATACTAAAGATTCTACCGTTTATAGAAATTTTAGAGATTCTAAAAATGCTGGATATTCTAAAGATTCCAGAGAATTTAGAGATTCCGGCAATTTTAGAGATTCTAGAGATCTAGAGATTCTAAAAAGTCTAGAGGTTCTAGGGATTCTAAACATTTTGAAGATACTAAAAATTCAAAAGATTCTAGAGATTACAAAGATTTTTGAGATGCCAAAAACTCTGGAGACACTAAAGATTCCAGAGATTCTAAAGATTCCAGAAAATTTAGATATTTTAGAGATTCTAAAGATTCTGGATACACAAACATTTTAAAGAGTGTTAAGTTTCCGAAATTTTAAAGTCTGTAAGTTTGAACAATTCTACAGATTTTTAAGATTCTAATATTTTAGAAAATCTAAATATTCTGAAGAGATATTAAAAATTCTAGGGATGCTAAAGATTCTAGAAATCTAAAATTTTTAAAAAGGTAGAGATTTTAAATATTTCAAAGATTGTGAAGACTCCGAAGTTTTAGAGTCTAGCGCTTCCAGCAATTCTAGAAATTCCAGAGATTCTAGAGGTCTACAGATTCTAAAATGTCTAGAGGTTCTAGAGATTTTAAAGATTTTGAAGATACTAAAAATTCGAAAGATTCTAGAGATTCTAAAGTTTCTAGTGCTTCTAGAGATTTTAAATTTTGTCGAGATTGTCGAGATCCTTGAGATTCTGGAAGTTCGAAAGATGCTAAAATTGTAAAGATTTTAAAGATTCCAGAGATTCCACTGATTGAAAAATATTTGTTTCGATTATATGTTTTTTGGTTCATTCAATTCATTTTACAATTTTTGACATCATAAATATTCGTTTTGCCATTTTCTTTACTTTTTGAAATGTTTCGGTTTCATAATTTTTCGTTTTTGTAAGTTTAATTTTTTCAATTGTTTAATTTCTCGACTTCTCAAATTTTTCAATTTTTGTTTATTCAACTTTTTATTATTACAATTTTTCAATTTTTGATTTTTCAGTTTCTCAATTTTTAATTTTTCGGTTTATCAATTTTTCGTTTTCTCAATTATTCAGTTTCTTGATTAATTTTTTATTTTCCCATTTTTTGTGAATAATATTTCCTGTATTGTATTTATCTTATTTTTACAATTTTTTTCATTTTCTTTATTTTTTCAGTGTTTCTTTCGATTTTATAATTTTTCGATTTGGCACTTTTTCGATTTTTAAGTTTTTGAATTTTTTACTTCTCAATTTTTTGGTTCTTTATTTTTCAAGTGCTTGATCTCCAATTTTTAGATTCGTTGATGAAAATTGAAAAATCGAAAAACTAAAAAATCGGAAAATTAAAAATTGAAAAACTAAAAAGTCGGAAATAATAAAAAACTGAAAAGGAGAGAATGCAGAATCGAAAAATTGCAAATTTTAGAACTGAAATTTTCAAAATGTAGAAATTGAAACATTCAAAAGTTGGAGAAACAAAAAATTAAACAATTTAAAAATAAAAACTCGAAGAAGTTATCGTAAAAATGAAGAAATAAAGCAAAATAAAAAATTAAAAATTACAAATCGAAAAATTGAAGAAACGAGAAATTTGAAATTTTGAAATTTATAAAATCGGAAATTTGAACAATCGAAAAATTGTAAAAAAAAAGAAAATAAAAAACCGAAACGAAAAATTGCAAATCGAAAATTTGAGGAAATGAAAAATTTAAGAGTCGAAAAGTTGAAAAATGCAAATACGAAAAATTTTAAACCGAAAAATTCCAAAATCTAAAAATTGAAGAAACAAAAAAAAAATTGCGAAATTGTGAAATGAAAAAAGAGGAAACGAAAATTTTAAAAAATTAAAATTGAAAAAGCAAAAAATTATAAAATCGAAGTATTAAAAAACGGAATAATTGAAGCACCGCACTTCAAGGACGAGGAAAGTTCTGTCGAAATAACTTTGGACCAATTTTTTAACCTCGTTTTTCTTATCACTATCTCTTTCCACCTTTATCGATTGCAGATGCACTAGTGATAAAACAACTACAGCCTTTTGTCGAAATCGCCTTTGTAACCCATTGTATTGCACTCAACACGGTACTCAAACTTCAATTACCTGCACCGTATCTACGCTATTTTTGTTTTCGTTGAACAACCTTCAAAAAAACACGCTCCACGTCATAAATATTTTATTCATCATTTATAATTGCAATAAATTAACTATCATAGCTCGTAATAGTCAACACTGCGTATTTCTCCTTGGCCTTGTTCTTCTTCAACTCCGCCAGCGGTTTCCTAATTTCGTAAACATTCCCCTTCCTTTTCAAAAAAATCGGCTCCTTATACTTGCTCCCTTTGAACGCAATCTCGCAAAAAAACTGCCTCTCACTCGGCCCGCAAAACGTCGCCCTCCAAATCAGAAAATCGTCTACAATCTCCGACTTACAGTGGAAGATTCCGACAGTGTTGTGGACAATATAGAGCTCCGAATTTTTGGGAAAATCGGCTTTCGGGTGTTGGACGATCTTCACACTACTGTGGAGGATCTTCAAGTGGTTCGAAAATTCCTTAAACTTGCCTTCGTAAGGACAGTCGCACATGCACTTGTATTTGCAGAAGTTGCACTTGGCTTCATGGGCGCGGACTTCGTTGTAGAGGAGTCGTTCGCTGCACCCTTCGGGGGAGTACCGACACTGGTGCAAGTGGGTTCTGCTGATGTTTTCCAGATGGGTATTTCTGGTGATGGTCACAGTACCATTGCAAAGTTTGCACGGTTTGCTCTTGCACCAAGAGCAGACGTTGTGACCATTGGCGCAAAGGTAGATGGGTGGGAGCATGTCTAAATGGCAGGTGGAACAAGACAGGTTGAGTTCTTCGGGGATGTTAGGTAGTGAGTCGGAGAGGTACTCGTTTTTGTATTCTTCGTACTTCTCGGTGAAGGGTTCTTCCAGCATGGACAGGTTCAACTGGCTTATTCTATCCATGTAGTCGCCACTTTCGCGTTTTTTGTCGTCGCTTTCGTCACCACTGTGTTTCGATTTAATTTTGTCTTCAAGGAACGCCAAACCGTCTAACATTTCTAGCAAACTTTCTTCAGTTGGGGTTCTTTCTTGGCTTTTTTGTTGGTGTAGTTTTTGGATTTTGTCTTCTAGGAACGTCAAGTCGTGTAACATTTCGGCCACGGTTGTGTCAATTGCGTTACTTTCGACAAATTTGTTGTTGATTTTCAGAGAAGTGTCGGAGCTTCGTCTCTTTTGGGTGAAGATTTCTTCTAGAATTATTTTGCAAGTGACGGTTTTCACTTCTGCGTGGAATCTCTTTAGACAATCTAGGTTGATTTCCCAGCCTTGTGTCGTTGGTACTACTGTTGAAAAAAATCCAGGGTTGTACCGATAGGAGATTTCGTTGACTGCAATGGATAGGTCGTAGTTCATTTTGGCAGCTGCTTCGTTCGACCCGAGGTATCTCAATTTAACTATGAGTTTGTCCCTATCGATGCAATTTTGCATCAGAAATAGTTCCTCTTCTAGGTATAGTAGTTTGTTCTCTGGTAACTTATCGAGATCGATTTCAATATTGTTGGTACGAAACAACAACCCATTGTGTTCGTTTTCAAAATGTTGTTTGATTTCACCGACACACCCCTCCCAGCAACACGCCAAACTCTTATCAGCAGGACATAAATAAATCACAGCCATTGGAAAAACCCTAGAAACAAAAATAAATTTTTGGCACAAAGTTGCAACGGTACTTACAAATTTGACGACAATCTGGCAAGTGGCTATTGATCGCACTCTAGTCGCTTATCAGTAGGTAATGTTAATTCTAAGATAAAACTTATCAGGTGAAGTAAAACAGCTGAGTTATGTGCCATAAAAACTCCATAAAACTCTACTTAATACTGTTTAAGTCGTACCGACGCACTGGTACCTGTTTTATAAAATTTACATTTTCGGTGTAATGCCACACAATTGTTAGGTTGTGCCTTTCCAATCCTTATCTCTTATCACGAGTGTAAACACTGACTCGACGCGCCGGCAACCAGTTATACGTCCTGTTTGCCTTATGGAGATTTAAAGAAATTCGCCTTTATTACCGCCGAGTTACGACCTTACCTTTTGGCGGATCGTTACCTGTCTGTTCGTACAACGTCGGCTGTTTCGGAAAATGAGATGTTTATTGCCGTTTTATGCCATCAGATAAATCTTCTCAAATTGAAACGGCTGAGTAGATCAATATAGTGAAATTGAGTAGCAATTTCACACTTTAAAGTCAATTTAGCGAGTTATTTTCTGGGATTGGGACGAAGACTAATGTGCTGGAAGATGTAAGTTTCGGGGGAATCGACTGGGGTAAATTGGGATATTTTCCGAGGTTTACGGAAACGGTGGTCATTGATGGAGCGTTTTGTCATAAAGGGCGGCGCGAGGCGGCTGTGGATAAAAAGTTATGATTATGCGAGAGTTGGGAATATTGTGAATTGGTGAATAGTGGTATTTTAAAATTTCTACTGCGTTTTTCGACCTTTTCTAGTAGTGCGGACGGGTTTTTCCAAGACTCCATTTATGGGAACCCCCAAAAGCAATGACGAAATCTCGTCTACCGTAATGTCCAGGCACCAGACAAACAAAGTTTATTGTCTCGGAAACTTAAACGCCCTGTAATGTCCATCATCCATCTTAAAAAAGATGGTCATTGCGGCTTTAAAGAGGAAACCCGCACATTTGTTCGAAGGGGTAGTTTTTCATTCCCTGCTTGCGGTCAGCGCTGCACATAACATACATCCACTAGCGAATCTAGTTTTCACTTTATTGGATTTTTCACCGAAAGAAAACGTTTGCTTTAAAACCAACAAGGACCCGTCGACTTCGCTCCATATTAGCGATTCATCTGAAAAAGTTAGCATTAAAATTGTTTATTTACAAGCACGTGAAGGCAATTCTGGGCTAAATTGGGGCGCGGATTAATCACCACTGAAAATGCAAAAATGCGCCATTTCCACAAATTACAAATGCACTGGTAAAACGTAAAAATATATCATGTTTTTTATGACATATTTGAACCGATTTACTTATGCAGGTCGCTAGCATATGAATACAAATTTGCTCGACACAGTTTGAACTGCCGGAGCTGTGATGTATTGGAATTTTAGTCGACTAATGTGTGTGTCGCTCCTGGAATCTTATATATGGTGTATATGGAAGTGTGGACTTCTCCAAAAAAAAGAAACGTTTTTCTCGCTTTAACTGTTATTATCGCTTTATTGTAGTATGAAAATACAAAAATGGAATTGACATTTAAAATGATTAAATATTTTTTTTTACTTTTGAAGCATCTTGTGAGAATCCTGATGTATACAAAAATTTCTTACCTGTAACGTTTTAAAAGTAGGATTATTGAAGATCTAAAGTAGTTTTTGTTGACAAAATTAAATCCTTTTGTACTGGTTTCCAATAGCCCCCTGTTCCAATACTGACATTTTTAAATAAAACAATAATTTTTTGTAAAGATTCCAGGTGTTTTTGTATTCACGTAAATTAGATTTGCTAATAGTGGAAATTTCACGTCGAGGCGATATGATATGGAAGCATTGACTTAAAATTTTGGCAAGTTTAGCCCCGCCCACCCGCCCTTGAAGACAATAAATGGTGGGTGGGCGGGGCCAATACTTTCCAAAATAAGACTGAATTTGCCAAATCATCTTAGTAGGGACTAGCCCCGCCCACCCACCCTCTTTTTTCTTTGAGGATATGTCATTTGGGAAAATCAGTCTTATCTTAACAGGTACTAGCCCCACCCTCCAGTCTTCTATTTTATTAGAGGGATCTCATTAGCCAGAATCAGTCTTATCTTAGCAGATACTAGTCCTCTAAGAAAATAAAGGGGGGGTGGGCGGGACTAGTGCTTGCCAAGATAAGGCTGATATTGCCAAATAATATACCCTTTAAGAAAACAGAGGGCGGGCGGGTGGGGATAATACTTGCCAAAGTAACACTGAGTTATAAAGATTCTAAACATTTTGAAGATACTAAAATTTCGAAATATTCTAGAGATTACAAAGATTCTTGAGATGCCAAAAACTCTGGAGATACTAGAGAATCTAGAGATTCTAGAGATTCTAAAGATTAAAGAGAATTTAGTAATTTTAGAAATTCTAAAGATTTTGGAGATACAAAAATACCAAAGTTTGCTAAGATCCCGAAGTTTTAAAGTCTGGGAGTCTCAACAACTCTAGAGATTTTAGAAATTGTACAAATTCTAAAAATTTTAGAAAATCTAAATATTCTGATGATATGGTAAAAATTCTAGAGATGCTAAAAATTCTAGAAATTCTAAAATTTCTAAAGTGGTAAATATTCTATAGCTAAAAATTCTGGAAATTGTACGTATTTCAAAGATTGCGAATTTTTATTAGAGTCTAGCACTAGCGATTCCGAAGTTTTATTAGAGTCTAGCACTTCCAGCAATTCTAGAAATTCCAGAGATTCTAGAGATCTACAGATTCTAAGAAGTCTAGAGGTTCTAAAGATTTAAAAGATTTTGAAGATACTAAAAATTCTGAAGTTCTAAAATTTCTAGTGATTTTAGAGATTTTAAATGTTCCCGAGATTGTCGAGATCCCCGAGATTCTAGAAATCCTAAAATGCTAAAATTCTAAAGATTTTAAATATTCCAGATATTCTGAAGATTCTGCTGATTAAAGAATATTTCTTTCAATTTTATAATTTTTTGTTCATTTTCCAATTTTTGACATAAATTTTCGATTTCCCATTTTCTTTCATTTTTCAAGTTTTCTACTTTTCGTCGTTTCGGTTTCATACATTTTTGTTTTCGGAACTTTAATTTTTTTCAATTTTTCTATTACTCTATTTCCAAATTTTGTAATATTTCGATATTACAATTTTTTATTTTTCGGTTTTACACTTTCTTAATTTTTTTTTCGATTTTTCAATTTTTCGTTTCCACAATTTTGCAAGTTCCTGATTTTTAATTTTCATTTTTCTGATTTTTTAGTTTTTATTTTTTTTCATAATTTTTCGTTGATTTAGTGCTTCAAGTTTTTCAATTTTTCATATTTCTGCTTCTCAATTTTTCATTTTTCAAGTTCTTGATTTCCAGTTTTTAGATTTTTCAAAGTTTTTATTTTATTCTTTTTCTTTTTTTCATTTTTGAGTTTTCAATTTTACAGTTTTGTATTTTTCTTTTTTTATGATTATGATGATGAAGAATCTGAAAATTAAAAATTGAAAAACTAAAAAATTGGAAATTTATAATAAACTGAAAAAAAATGAAAATTGGGAAAATCGAAAAAGTGGAAAATCGATAAATTGCAAATCGGAGAACTAAAAAAACGAAAAATCCAAACATCGAAAAAAATTAATGAAATCAAAAATTGGAAAACCCAAAAATTTTGAAGTCGAAAAACTGTAATACCGAAAGATCGAACAATTGAAAAATTAAATTAAATTATGAAACGAAATTAAAAAATTAAAAAAAAAAACGGAAATGAAAAATCGAATAAATGAACAATCAAAGAAATCGAATAATAAAAAAATGGGAAACTTTTAAAATCCCAAACTGATAAACTGAAAAATTTTAAAAACAATAATAAATTATTAGCCAATACTAGAAAAATTCCAAATGAATAATTGAAATTTCCAGAAACTGAAAAATCCAACACTGCAAAAACGAAAAACTCCAAATTGAAAAATTGAAAAATGCAAAAATTCAAAAATTTCAGACTGAAAAAACATTATAAAATTAATACGTGCCAAGATAAGACTGATTTTGCCAAATGATCTTAGTAGGGATTAGCCCCGCCCACTCACCCTCTTTTTTCTTGGAGGATATGTCATTTGGGAAAATCAGTCTTATCTTAGCAGGTGCTAGCCCCACCCACCCTCCCTCTATTTTCTTAGGGGTTATCTCATTTGCCAAAATCACTCTTATCCTAGCAGGTAGTAGCCCCGCCCACCCACCCTCTCTTTTCTTACAGGGTTTGTCATTTGCCAAAATCGATCTTATTTTAAAAGGTACTAGCCCCACCCTCCAGTCCTCTATTTTATTAGAGGGATCTCATTAGCCAGAATCAGTCTTATCTTAGCAGATACTAGTCCTCTAAGAAAATAAAGGGGGGGGTGGGCGGGACTAGTGTTTGCCAGGATAAGGCTGATATTGCCAAATAATATACCCTTTAAGAAAACAAAGGGCGGGCGGGTGGGGATAATACTTGCCAAAGTAACACTGAGTTCTAGAGATTCTAAACATTTTGAAGATACTAAAATTTTGAAATATTCTAGAAATTACAAAGATTCTTGAGATGGCAAAAACTCTGGAGATACTGGAGATTCTAGAGATTCTAAAGATTAAAGAGAATTTAGGAATTTTAGAGATTCTAAAGATTCTGGAGATGCAAAGTTTCCAAAGTTTGCTAGGATTCCGAAGTTTTAAAGTCTGGGAGTTTCAACAACTCTAGAGATTTTAGAAATTCTACAGATTTTAACGATTCTACAGATTCTAAAAATTTTAGAAAATCTAAATATTCGGAAGATATGCTAAAAATTCTAGAGATGCTAAAGATTCTAGAAATTTTAAGATTTCTAAAGAGGTAAAAAAAATGTAAGTATTTCAAAGATTGCGAAGATTCCGAAGTTTTATTAGAGTATAGCACTTCCAGCAATTCTAGAAATTCCAGAAATTCTAGAGATCTACAGATTCTAAAAATTCTAGAGGTTCTAAAGATTCTAAAGATTTTGAAGATACTAAAAATTCTGAGATTCTAAAGTTTCTAGTGATTTTAGAGGTTTTAAATGTTCTCGAGATTGTCGAGATCCCCGAGATTCTAGAAATTATAAAATGCTAAAATTCTAAAGGTTTTACATATTCTAGATATTCTGAAGATTCTACTGATTAAAAAATATTTCTTTC